GTTCGGATTTCCGAGGTGAAAGTCTAGTGATCCGAAAATTATATGAATCAAAACTCACCTTTTCGAAAATTTCAGCCCGAAAAAAGGCTTCCGAAAATTCTAGGCGACCTTTTTAGGGTAAAATCCGTTAAAAATGGGCAATTATACCATTTTTTAGATGTTCAAAAATTATAGGAGAGGCAGGCAAGCAAGAAATTTTACAACAAATGTTCCGAAAATTCTAGATCTCAAATAGTCTTCCGAACAGAAATTTTCCAAAAATTGACGTTGGGAGCCCCTATATTAAGAGCAGTAAAATGATTTTTCGTTGCTTTATTATTTTACGCAAAGTACTAACAGGGCATGAGAAATAAAACAACAATAATAAACACTAATACTTATCCACTGGATGGCAATTTATCCGGTGGACAGCGCTATCCAACTTTTGAATAGCCAAGGCCAGGCTTAAAATTTACTATGTTAATGGCTACAGTGCAGTTAAAGATGAAAGAATACTTCTGCAAAATTTCTTAAGGTACCTTTCTGACAATTTTCTTTGCAAAACACAGGTACATGTACGATGCATTTTAGTAAAGGCTTTCTTCTTTCTCATCCCCTTATCAGGGGTTGAGATCTAGAATTTTCGGAACATTTGTTGTAAAATTTCTTGCTTGCCTGCCTCTCCTAGGCTTTTGGAACATCTAAAAATGGTATAATTACCCATTTTTAACGGATTTTTACCCTAAAAAGGTCACCTGGAATTTTCGGGAGCCTTTTTTCTGGCTTAAATTTTCGAAAAGGTAAGTTTTGATCCCTATAATTTTTGGATCACTATAGACTTTCACCTAGGAAATCCGAACAGATGAAAAATTTTCTAGGGGATAAAAATATCCCTTTATCTACTGTTTAAATACTCAGAAATACGTTCAACAACGCTATGTTTAAGTGGTTTTGAACTATATTCTCGTTGGGTGCCCCTGCCTTATGGATCACACTAATCCTTTCTCACTCTAACTTCCCCAGTCTTCCTGGTCATTCATATCCTTATTTAAGCTGTATCTGAAACTAGCTTTTGGTTAAAGCTTAGAAGCTACAGTAGAACCTTCACTATAGGCTAATTTCGTTCAGACCATTTGTCATGGAACTGCCTTCAGTGAGTGCCAAAGAATGTAATGCCTCTGTCGTCAACTTTCTTTAAAAGGGCAACTCTAGAAGACAGCTAATCACCTCTTTTTCCAGAGGCCAATTTGGCATGTAATGCCTCTGTCGTCAACTTTCTTTAAAAGGGCAACTCTAGAAGACAGCTAATCACCTCTTTTTCCAGAGGCCAATTTGGCAAAACCCCATAAAGGTGAGAGGAATGGGCCTCCTGCCACACACACCTTCCCAAACATAACAAAACAACACCACTTAGTAATTCCCATGCTCTGAACAAACTATTGACCCCCCAACCCTTACTGCAAAACTAAAATCTACTTTAAAACAACTCTTACCTTCCTGTAAACAAGTCCTATTACAGCAACTTTAAGCTTCAAAGCCCAGAGCTCTGTGATATAGTCATAGTGTTGTGTTGATACTGCTTTCACAATGCTCATTAGAGCTAAAAGTGCCACATACATGGACGCTCGTTTCAAATCCATACCTGTTCCATCATTTAGTAGCTTCAAAGCCCAGAGCTCTGTGATATAGTCATAGTGTTGTGTTGATACTGCTTTCACAATGCTCATTAGAGCTAAAAGTGCCACATACATGGACGCTCGTTTCAAATCCATACCTGTTCCATCATTTAGCTCCTTTAACACCACCCAGAGAGACAATGGCAGCAAAGCAAAACTCAAAGACCAAAGAATTCTTAAGATTATCATTGCAAGACCAGATCTCCATGGGATGAGCTTTATCAGTGCTTTCCATAACTGTGGCCTCTTGTTTTCTTTATCACTAGTGTTTTTTAATTCATCTAACCAGCATTTTTCAGCCCTGGCCATGAGCAATTCAGCTTTGTAATCTTCCAAAAGTGGAAACAAGTCTTTATCAGTTAGTGGCTGTTTATTTCCAAGACTGAGCAAATCCTGCATCCACTGAATGAATATGATTGAGAGCACATTAGCACCATCTCTTGGATTCTTTCTCTCAGGGGTACCCTGCATGATTTCTGCTAAGAATACAACAGTGCTCAGTTTGTACAAGTATCAACTTAAATTTTCCCCTCTAGTTATAATAATGATGATGATTATTTAACAGTCAATGAATGAGGCTGAGTATCTTATGAAGAATTATGGAGATCGAGGAGGGTGTTATCTATCGAGGCCGTAGGCCAAGGCGGATAACACCCTCCAAGATCTCCATAAGTCTTCATATGATACGAAAGGCGAATTCAATAATTATTGTTTTACTATTCATCGAAAATAATTCCTAGTTTAAAAACATGGCTAAAATATGCTTACCTCCATCGATCCATTGATGTTAAGTTCATCTTTGATAATGCACAGTTAGGGTTGTTCAGCTCCGCAAATATTCTCCAAATAGCAGATGTCACCCTTCGAGTTGTCTTCTTGCTGTCCTTGCCATGTTTTTAGCTATTACTTTGCCTACTTATTTAATCTTACTCTGGAAACGAGTGAAATGTCCGCCCTTTTTGTTTTCACAACCAAAACAACTCAACCTCGTCCTCAGGTCTTCTCGGTTAACAGTGCATTAACCTGCAAGAAAGCTGCACTTTTGACATCATCGGTTCATTAAACGCAAAATTCTTCCAAATTTGGTCATCAGTAGCTGGTTATGGTGAATTATGCGTGTGCTTTTAACCAATCAGAATCGGAGAAATATTTTGAATGAATAATAATATCATTTAATTCTCACAAAGTGAGACCAGAAGGGCCAAGCATATAAATGTTATATAAATTTTGACAGAATTTGTGTCACTTTTTTGTTAACAATGTTCAGGGCAGTTTTGAGCTGAGGAGAATGGGTTCTTTAGGTTCAAACAGTGTGTTTTAACAACTATTCTACATGCAAATGGCTTTAATAAAATACATTTTTTTACCATTTAAAGTACCTCCAGTTGGTGATAAAAAAGTTGAGACACTGTCCTCACACAGGGCGCTTAGGAGAATAAAACAATTTGCACCAGTCCCCTTCCTCCTTCAGTCTCCATCTAAAGGTGGGGCGGTTATACAGGTAACTCAAACAGCAGCAGAACATTGCTTGCAGAAAATGGGAGAGGAAGCTTGAGCTTCTTTTTTTTCCTTTTGGAACTAAGAAAACACCAGAGAGACCCTTTAGGACTAACTGTCGCAACTAATTTTGTTGCCAATACCAAAACAAGGCCAACTTTTTCCTTAGCTTGCATCGCGAACGTAATTTAACCTCAGTTAGTAGTTACGTCTGTGAAGCATCGCCAATAACCTTGTTCTGGGTCCCCAAAAGACTCAACAAATTACCAGAACTACGTTTTGAACTTCCTTTTATACAAATTCTAACAAATTGACAATGGCTTTTCTAACAGGCCAATCATGAAGCGTACTTAAATCCTGGTACACAGGTGGGGGCCCAGAACAAGGATTTCGTCGCAGATGGACTTAACAAGGAACAGAGGCTCCCAATGACAATTTTCAGAAAATATCTGTTCGGAAGACGATCTGAGATCTAGAATTTTCGGAACATTTTTTGTAAAATTTCTTGCTTGCCTGCCTCTCCTAGGATTTTCAAACATCTAATAAATGGTATGTATAATTGCCCGTTTTTAACAGATGTTTATCCTAAAAAGGTTACCTAGAATTTTCGGAAGTCTTTTTTCTGGCTGAAATTTTCGAAAAGGTAAATATTGGTCCCTATAATTTTTAGATCGCTAGACTTTCAGCTAGGAAATCCAAACAGATGAAAAATTAAAATACTAAAATATATTGAAAAATGCTATGTTTAAGTGGTTTTAAACTACATTCTCGTTGGAAGCCCCTGAAAGAATTAGTTTCATGTGTGGCGCAGGCTACTTTTTCCTTAGATCCCTGATTAATTGCTGTCAAGAAAGCAGTTCTGTGGCATATTTGCAAAGGTCTCGTTGAAAACACATTCCTATTACACTGTAGTGGAAGGGGAACACAGATTTATTGGTGACCCGTTTTCATCCCTGATAGCCAGAATCTGACATCCACCTAATATCAACAGCATGAACGCAAGTGTGGGACAAATGCTGACTTGAAGGTAAACATTGGTAAACATGCAATAACCATAAAACTTGCCTAGGTACGTTCAAAAAGTGAGCTGTTTTCAAAAGTGTTTAGTGTTTGTCACTAGGTCACACTATTCTTAAGTACATTTTTAACCAAATACATGTAGTTCACTTTTTAAGGTAACCAATATGTTGAGTACGAATAAACAATTTTTGCTCTGAAAAGCATCCAAAGGCTTTAAAAAGACTTGACATCTAGGGAAAGGGTCAGTTTTCGGCACATTTTATAATATCCACTGTTTATAACAACCAATAAAATGTCCGACAGTCTGCAAGTATGGAGTTTGTATTTGCCATACACGACTGCAATATGAGGTAAGGCTAGCCAAAAACTGAAAGACAACACGTTCGTTGAATGGCCATTAGGGAGACAGCCCGTCTTATGAAGTTGGACACCGAGAGGCCGCTAAATATCAAATTTTTGGTCCAGTTTTTCTCAGGAACATTTTGATTACCCTTTGAACCAAAATAGCAACAGGGGTCGTGTGAGTCGCTACACGATTTCAGCGAGTTGAACAAATTCCGTACTAAGCCAAAATATATGCTAGTTTAATTAGACTGCGCAAACTGTTAACCTCTTGGCGACCATTTTCTACATCATTTATTTGCTGTTTTTTTATGCGGGACAGCATGGCGAGCGGTTGTGGAGTTGTGAGCTCTGATGAAACGTGGTCAAACTCGATCTTATTTGATGATAACAAGCATCAATGGAAATGGAATGGTTCGCCAACTGGTCTAAGAGATTTTCTACAATCCCAACTCAACTTACAAGGGTCGTGGGATCAGAAGAACAATGGAAATCAACTTGTCTTCAAATGCCAGGATAGATCAGTCACAGTTAACTGGTACAACAAAACATCGACATAACAAACAAGGATCAAGTGATAAGAGATATTGCGCATTTGGCGAACAAGAGTTCGACTAAATCGCCGTCATCCTTAATTGATTTCACTTTACCATTCATTTCATCGACTGTGGGCAGCGAGACGTTCGAAGCAACTGCTGAGGCTGAATTATCATCTACTCGGCCCCCATCTACTCTTTATTCAAACGGAGATACATCGTGTAACGGCTGTGTCTGCCTGATAGAAGCCATTAAGAAGATGGAAAACAAACTGTCAAATTTTGAAAAACGTTTGGATGAACTAGACTCAAAATTTGCATCGAACTCAAATGCAAATCAGACTGCAGAAGTCACAGTGCGTGAAAACGACAAGAATGCAATCAGCAGTGAACAGGTTATTATCCAAAAAATTAGGAAATCCGAGGCAAGAATAGTACAGAGTCTCCGCAACCTTGAATGTCGGCCTGGTGAAGTTGTTCAAGAAGTTTTAAATCCATCTGTACATGAAGAAGCTCATCAAGTAGAAAACCAAGATGTTGAAACCTACGAATCCACAAGTGTTAATGGTAATCATGAGGCCAGCGTTGAAAGTCTCGAGGGAGAGTGGAATGAAGTAAGGAACCCATCAAAGCCGATTCAAGAAATTGATACACTTATTGTGGGCGATTCAATCATCAAAGATATCAAACCTAGTTTTAATTTTGATGTCAGCTTCAAATACGATTAGGAAGCAATGCCTCCGTGGTGCAAAAGTTGAAGAATGCACATCTAAAGTCGATTTTAGAGCTTACAAATGTAAGAAGGCTATTGTTATTCACCTTGGTACGAATAACATAACGACCGACGACTCACCAAAGACCATTGCAAGTAAATTAGCTGAAGTGGGAAAAAACATTCAACGCAGCACTGAAGCCCCAAGGATTATCATTTCCGGCATCATTTCCAGGCAAGACACGAGGGTAGGCTCTAAAATAGCTGATACAAACTGTGAAATTAAATCTATGTGTGTAAAAATGAAATGGAAATTTGTAAACAATGACCGACTAAATGAGTCGTGTCTGAATGGTAGTAAACTGCACTTAAATAGCAAGGGCTCTGCTTACCTAGCTACTAACTTCCTTAAGGCGTTAAATACTAGTAAGCAAAACATCAAAGAGACCAGTTGGACCAAGGACAACCATCAAAATTTTCGGAAGACCAAAGCTACAAGGCCTTCTATAAATGATATAAATAATTCCGCTACAAATTCCCATATTGAACTAGATGATAATAGCCAAGTTCATCCAAAAACTCCGACAGATTCAACTAATAGATTTTCAAGTAGCGCACACGTGCAGCCAAATTTGGGTATTCCAGTAACTAGAGGGTTTAAAATTGCTTCTATTAATTTGGCCAGCTTGTATAAAAATATTGACCAGCTTAGGATCTATATGCTGTCCAAGACAGTTGATATACTAGCTAATAATGAGACTCGTCTAGACAGCTCTATTCAAAATGGTGAGGTCAGTATCCCTGGATATACCCTTGAAAGGAAAGATAGAAATAGAAATGGGGGTGGTGTGGCCCTCTATATTAGGGACTCAATAAATTATAAGCATCTCATTGACCTCCCGGATGATAACATGAAACTGATCAGTATCCAAGTGTTGAAACCGAAAGCAAAACCATTTATTGTGTGCACTTGGTATAGGCCTCCAGGGTCCACCACTGAATTGATGAACAGATTTGAAGATGTATTGCAAAAATTGGACTCATGTAATATGGAGGTTGACATTATCGGTGACCTCAATCGTAATGTTGGTGCAACATAACCAGATTGCAGCACACAAAAACTACTAGATATCTGTGATAGTGACCAGTATAGGCAATTAATTGATTCAGCCAACACGTATAACACAGCTCACATCATCTATTATTGATTTTTTTTTAACTAATCATCCGTGGAATTTTTCAGACTCCGGAGTCACCGATATCGGAATCAGTGATCACTGTCTGGTGTATGCAATAAGAAAGATTTGTATCCCCAAATCAAATCCAAAGACTGTAACGAGCAGATGCTTTAAAAAATTTTATTCCAGATAGTTTTCGAACTGATTTATCTATGGTCCCGTGGCATCTGATTGAACAGGAGCATAATCCTGACATTGCTTGGGATATATGGCAACACATGTTCTTAGACATTGCTGATAACCATGCACCACTAAAGAAGAAGAGAGTGAAAGGAATCTCTTCCCCCTGGATTACTCCAGAGTTAAAAAGGCTATTGTTTCAGAGAGACAAACTCAAAAAATTAGCCTCAAGGTTCCCACCAGATGGCAACTGGACTTCTTACAAACACATGAAGAATAAGGTTAATTATGAAATTAAGAATGCTAAAATGAACTATTACAATGCCTTCTTCAAAGATAATCGCAGAAACATAAAGAATACTTGGAAAGGAATTAATAGACTAATTGAAAATGAACCTAAATTTAATAAGATAACTCAGCTGGACACTGGGGATACTGTAAGTACTGACCCCATCGAAACCAGTAATATACCCAACACACATTTCTCCAAAATAGGACCTTCCTTAGCCTCTGAAATTAAAGATACATCCAGTAATTTTACTGATTATATTACTCCTGCAGAACACATTTTTAATTTGGCGAAAGTATCATGCCAGGAGGTCTTCAATTTAATTCAGAAAATACCGAGTAATAAAGCGAGTGGTCTTGAAAACATCTCAGCACGTCTCCTGAAAGAAACATCTCCCATAGTTACTCGCAGTCTAACTTTTATAATAAATCAGTCAATTACCACTGGGATATTTCCAAATGCTTGGAAACAAGCTAGAGTTTCGCCAATATTTAAAGAAGACCTCAGGACTGATCCTAACAACTACAGACCTATCTCAGTTCTGCCTGTAGTAAGTAAATTAATTGAAAGAGTTGTTTTTAATCAATTATATGAATATTTAAATAATAATAACTTGTTAACTGAATCACAATCTGGCTTCAGACCTATGTTTTTCACTGAAACAGCTTTGCTTGAGGCTACGAATGAATGGCTTGGAATATTGACAACAGTCTCTTAAATGGTGTGATATTCCTGGACTTGAAAAAAGATTTTGATACCATGGATCATGCTATCCTTCTGAGAAAGCTTAAACTCTATGGGGTCAGTTCTAAATCTCTTGACCGGTTCCGGTCCTATCTATCTGACCAAAAGCAACAAACGTTCATTGATAGAGTTCAATCTGATTTCTGTAATATAACATGTGGTATTCCACAGGGGTCTATTTTAGGCCCTCTCTCATTCACTATTTATATTAATGATCTCCTTTCATGTAATTTGTTTTCAAAACCCAGAATGTATGCAGGTGATACTACCCTTACCACATCTGCAGAAGACTCATGTGTCCTTGAACATAAAATGAATTATGATATGAATTTAATCCAGTCATGGCTGTCAGCAAACAAATTAACTTTAAATGTTAAGAAGACTAAATACATGCTTATAGGGAGCCAATTTAAGTTATCCCAAATAAATAGTGACTTCACAGTCAAAGTCAATAATACACCCTTAGAAAGAGTAATTAAACATAAATCCCTTGGAGTTCAAATTGATGAATCTTTAAACTGGCACACACACATTCATACCATTTCAAAGAAAATATCTGCTGGTATTGCTATCTTAAGGCGTGTAAGTCATTTTATACCATTTGATACTAGAGTGAATATGTACAATGCACTGGTAATGCCATATTTTAATTACTGTGGTGCCGTATGGGGTAATATCAATAAGGGACTAGCAGACAAACTTCACAAGCTGCAGAATAGGGCTGCTAGAATTCTCACCTTTTCTAACTATGATGTTCGCTCAAGTGTTTTGTTGGATGAGCTTGGCTGGGAAAGGCTAGAATATGTAAGACTTAAACAGCTGGCTGTGACAATGTACAAAATCCATAATAATCTTCCCTATCGTATCTGAGGCGGATCTTTACCAACATCTCAAATGTACATTCACACAATCTTAGAAATTCTGAGTTAAATTATTATGTCCCCTGACCCAGAACTCAGTCTGCAAAAGGGAGCTTACACTACAGAGGATCTGTTCTGTGGAAGAAGATTCCCTCAGAGATTAGAAAACTGCCTAGTTTAAATGTTTTTAAAACTTTGATTCATGGGAAAGATTTTTCTAATACACCATGACCCATTGTAACTCTTATTATTCATAATGTAAGTTTTTGTATTTTTAACATTATAGTCAATAGTTCCTTAGAGTATTTTAGTCTAGTTTTAAACACGATTCCTAGGAAGACCATGTAAAATGATACAATTTCCTGTATAAATAAAGATTGATGACGATGATGATGATGATGGGTTGGTTCTGTTCTGTTTTAATTTCATCATTACATTATGATTCGTTCAGGTTAAAGGCTTTGATTTAAATTTATATAACAACAAACCTAAACCTAAATTAACGAGAAGTTAACTGTTTCAAGGCAGTGCTTATAATCCTAATCACTATTCTCAGGGCTCAACCCACAGGCGGCCCAAACTCACATTACAAGTTAAAGTTGTAAAGTAATTTACATACCAAAGGTACGGGTGGTGTGTGACCTTTGTGCTGGATGCTCCAGTGTCGCATTACAGGCGATCGTTTAAAATAAGAGACTTTGTATGAAAAATAAAAAACTAATGATGATAACTGCGAATGTTAAATATAATCCCGTCAATGAAATGAATAAAAAGACTTACCTGCAATGTTTTCCACTGTGTTTTGGTGTCTCCTTATCACTGTCCTGGTTTCTTTGGCTTTTTTGCATAACCACTTCTACCCCCTTCAAAAGACGACCAAAACAGTCAGTGGAGTCACAGGGAGCCCACACAATCTGTGTGAGTAGCCGATTGCTATTTTATAGTAGATGTACTGGATTTACCGTTTGCTTAACCTATAGTGAAATCGCTAAGTATGTATATAGATCAATTTTAAATCAACATTGAATTACCTTTCCACCTAGAATAGCTCCCCTAATTGTGGGTAACATAGATCTAAATTATTTGACAACTGAATAAACTGTTGTTGTTTTTGTTGTTGTCGTCACCTGTGATATGCTGTCGTCCTTTTGCCTCAAAAGCGGTTTTTTGAGCGATTTTGAAGAATTTTGAGTTCACCGTTTACTGTTCCTAATAACAGAAGGACAAGGAAGGAATCCTTGTTTTGAAAGGGCTCCAGCACCGGAGTGATTTTTTCCCCAAAAATCGCATCGCTCCGCTTTCAAACTTTGCAGCAAAAAGATCAAAGATTCGTGCAAGTATTTGTAACTTCCGATCGAAAATCCATCCAAAAGGCCCGGAGCTACCCTTCGAAGCCCCTCTTTTTGATTGGATGTCATTAAACAATAATCGCTTGCCAAGTCTGCTTTAAATCAGTTACTGTTTAACCATTTGGTTAATGACATCCAATCAAAAAGAGGCAATCAGCGGGACGATTTCTCACTGGGACATATGAATCTTGCTACGAATTTTGACTGTTCAAAAACTGTGGGATTTTAATTTTTTTTAATTTTTTTTAATTTTCTTCAAGTCTCTTTAATCAGATTTTCAACGGTCGCCTGTAACGCGACACCGGCGTGTCCCGCATAATTATTACTTTACACCCCAGCTATCCTCGGAACGTGAGTTTGGGTTGCCTGTGCTTTCAGTGCGTAAACGTAATATCAGTATTCTCAGGGCTTATAGTCAGTATGATCAGTGCTTAACCCTAATGACTATTTCAGAAGAATCCCGTATGAATAGCAGATATAAGACTCGGTGTAAGGGTCCCGTACGCATAGCCACTGGGTAATTTACAAAGAGGCCCTTCAAAATGAAAATAGAAAAGCACCGAATACAAAACCAATATAGACCGCTCAAAACTATCCGTCGCCACTCATGCTACACTTGCCTACATTTTCAGATTAGTCTAGGTGCTAAAGCTATAAAAACTTTCATAAGATAGCAGATTTTTCGAGACAGAATTGTTAACTCACCGTAATTTCTTCTCTGTGGGGTTTGTCCGACGTCCGACAATACACCGAGTGGTCGTTTGAGGCCTGGCACTGGCACGTGGCGTTACAATACTGACAATAGACCGCTTACGCAACAGGACGGGTGACAAGCGTGACAATGGGCGCGATCCATTCAACCAAAATTCCAACCGGTCCGACCGGGAAAAGAGGACCACCTCAAAAGGTGGACCTGTTTTTTCGAAACTTTTCCGGTTGGACCGAACCGATCCATTGAGTTTTGGACCGAAATTTCCGGAAAGTTTGGTTGAATGGATCGCGCCGAATAATTTTGTTTGAAAAACTTTTCCGCCGAACTTCACCCTCCTCTAAACAGGTCTTTTTGTAAAAGATTAGAAAACATTAAGTTAGGTGAAGATCACCACAAAACACCTACGAAATATGCCTGTCACGTTTGTCACACACAAGCATTTTGCCGTCCTCTCTGCCGTCCTTTTGCGTAAAGTGTTTTCACATGACGTCACGGCGGCCATATTGGTGTCCCAAAACAATGAAACGGCGGCCTTGTTGGTGTCCCAAACAAATACTGTGGGAGTTGAACTTTTTTCTTATGCAAACGCTTTCTTTTGTTCCAATAAATTTGCATAGATGCTGGCCACGTGAGTGAAAACACTCTACTGTACAAATGCGGAGCCAGGGATGCGCGATCCACGTCAACCGGAAGAGGACTTTTTGCACTCTTGAGCCATGATTTCAACAACTTTTTGGGCAAATAGTTTATGTCAGAGTAAAGACACTTAAAAATACAAATTGGGTTGCGTCGAGGCATATTGTTTCACCGCCCAATATTTATCCGCCCTGCTCTCTAATAAGTACGTAATTTTGTCTCCCACGGCCGTGTAAAACAGAGTGAGATCTGGGTACGAGATTAATAAACGTCACTCTTAAAAACTACTTCCTGATAACGCTGAACAATAGAGCCGGCCTCTAAGTATTTGCCCTGTCAACTCATTCCTTTGTTCCGTATTCTTTATATGCGAAGAATCTTTCAAATCTCGTCATTTGCACCATGGCGGACTTCACGAGAGTTTCTTCCAAACACGGAGACGTGGAAATGGCAAATCGTAACGAACATTACCATGCAGTAGGTTCCATATTCTCTTTGGTCATTTTTCAAAGACTTTAACTTGTTGGAAACATTTTTACCCCCAAAAATGATTTTTCGCAGTACGAAAACAAAGCGTATCTAGCAGACCCCGGACAAAACGCAGGAAATAACCCCGGGTGGAGAGGAAATCAGGAGGAGGAAGATTTTGATCCTTGGGCTCCGCCCGAGCTTCAGGATCTTGGACCAAAATGGTCTGGTAAGTTTCGTTGCGTTCAGTCTGGTTGTATTCTTCGTCTAATCTCGTCATACCACAAAGTAAAAAAGTAATAATGAGTTAAAAAATAAATAATTATAATCATCTGTTTCAAAGGCCTCTCTTCAGTGGGGCTTATAGTAGCGGGGAAATTTTCGTCTTCAAAACCCCGCAGGTTTTTAATTGTAGGAAAATTGTGTCAACAATTTTCAAAGCACAATAACAGGATTCTAGAAATTCGTGGGAAGTAATTCTTCAGAACTTGCAAACTCAATCGCCACAGCAATAACGGAACTTCATTGAAAAGGGAAATGCGTACGTGATATCATAAATGTAATGCGATGACTTGCTACTGTCACCCATCGGTCAAAAGGAGGACGCATCATCTTACGTGCTAAGTGATCAAATAACAAGAAGTTAAGTTTTTAGCATCATCATCGTAATTTCAGTTTTAGTATCAATATTATAATGGCAAAGTATTTTAAAGCAGCTCAGTTACGGCTTATTCAAATAGAGTCACGCGATATATTTCTGTAAACAAAGAAAAAAAGAAAAAAATGGAAGAAAAAGAAGAAAAACGGAAATACCATTGAAATAAATAGAAATACCTGAATAAATTGTTGTCGTTAGCATTATTTTCCCTTTTTTGGCGCTTACTTTCTTATCATTTAGCAAGAAACTCGTTTCAACTAGCAAGACATGTTACATACAGAGAACAACAACTGATACATAATGCAAACGAGAATAATGTTTTCTTGTCAATGCCGATGCAACAATGTGAAATTATAACCTCACATCAAATCACAACAGGGTCTACAAATGCCTTGAAACCTGTTGCTAACAACAATGCTTTACCAACAATTGCGACTTCAGTACCGGATCCATACCTTGAGATAAGCGGGGGGGGGTGGGGGGGGCGGTCTCCAAAATATTTTTGGATCCGCCATTGGACTTATGATTGTGTGATCGAATCTTTCTCTTTGCTGACCGACAGAGCTCGACTGCAGAGGAAAGTTTCTTCGCGTAGCTTTGGCTTTTACCAAGATTTTCCTACTCCTTGTCTTCTGTACTTGTTCATCTGTTCGTTGGATTTCCTAAGCAGTGCCTTTCGCCTGTTGGGAGGAAAAGCCGCTGGCGAAGCCTTCGCTTCGAATGAAATTCTCAGTAACCCCGTGGCTGGCCTTATGATTGGCATCTTGGCAACTGTTCTTGTTCAAAGCTCGTCCACTACAACTTCCATCGTGGTATCAATGGTGGCTGCTGGCAGTAAGTTTTGTATTTTACAACAACAATGTTGCATGGTTTTGGAAGATATTTACCAGACTTTACTGTAATTTATATAACGTTTTAGCGCGTCCAATAG